GTGTGTGTGTGTGTGTATATATATATATATATATTATTTCTGGTGTGAAACTCGCGGGTATTGGAGACATCAGGCACGCGATATATTGATGGGTTGTTATTAGTGAAGATAGGAAAACGTTACCTAATGTGCACTATTGTACGCATTAGAAGACTTGAAACTGTATTCGGTGGCCTTAAAGTGGAGTATATCAGACTATCCTTAAGCCAGAAATAGGTGTGTATTTACAAAGGTACACACCAGCGAGCTTACATCGAATTTATACAACTCTCAAGCACACACCGATATACAGACATATGTGTGTAGTTGCAGCGGCGTGAGTGTTCCAGGTGAGAGACTTGACAATATATTCATCAGCTGCTTATAATGCAACGTAATGTCTTGTTCATGTCAGTTAAAATTACAGTAGTGAGAGCAGGCCGTGCTGTGGTCACATCATGAGATTCAGAAACTAAACGCCTACATCGTGAAGGAGTGTACCAGACGAGACATGATGAGATGTGTTGGTGCTCTCAGGGTATATAATGATTGGGAACTCGGTCACGAGTTCCCAGGAAGTACACAGAAGCAGGTATCGAGTGAATCGACAGTAGTAAAGCGCGTATAGTTCATTTGCTCATACCACGAAGGTGGTCCAAAGATATCAACGACATCTCCAGCTCCCACTCCTTTGCCTTGCAGAAGTGCGTCAAACACAGGCACCCCTGTAGCTAACTTCACTTCACTTAGGCCATATTTCATACGCAGGAATAGCTGCATATATACAATTGTGCACAGATTAGACGTAAGGATACGTTCTCCCATGCCTTATACCTAAGTACGGCAGTGCATATAGTGTGTAGATACATCAGGCCATACCTCGCAAGCAACAATAGATATAAGTACACATTGAAAATAAACTATAACTTTCAATTCTGAAATCACTTTCCCCTGCACGCCATGATGTAAATATAGCTGGATATAGAGAAACGTGCCTAGAAATTAACCTGATACCTGTATCCAACCTCAAACGCAGACTACTACATATAGCAGACTACTGCTTATACTTAAAAGATAGCTGTGCACAGAGAACGAAGCATGCTGGCCATCAAAACAACATGTTAGTAGGACCATGTGTAAGGTATGGGGTATGACTTACATGTCGATTTGGTACAAGTGCGGAAACAGTTCGTGATTTTGAATTTCGCAATAAATTTCAATCAAACACATGATATATACCTTGACAACTCAAGATTCTTATACAATGGCAAATAATGCATTTTGACACAAGGTGAAAAGGGGCTTATCTTCACATGGTTAAAAAGGCCATGCCATTTGCCCTTACGGCGTACATGGCGTCATGACGACTACACAAAGAGAACGTAAAAATATAGAAATATGGACAGCCCAGCCTACATGCGCATTGTGGTATCTCAAAATTGTATATACGAGCAAATACTCCATCTACCGATAATTGATTGAGGCTTTGCCGTGATTTATGGGTGTAGTCACAGTTGCAAAACACTTGCGAGTGCGATGTTCCGTTCAAACCCAGAGAAGTATCAGCCTTAACTTAGGTCACATATAAGCGATCACCAGCAGAACATTTTATTCCTGAAATAGATTTCTACAACTGAATACACCTACACTCAGCGTTCGTTCGAGCGTGTGTCCGCCCGTGTTAATTTTTCAGCACAGAAATTATAACCAAATACACTGCGTTTATTTCGGCCGTTCCTATGCAAAGTAATGAACATCAGATAGCTCATAAGTATGGAGTGTTCACGGTTTTACATCCACCAAAGTATACGCCTGGCACTCTCTGTTGATCACGAATATATGTTAACCTCGGTACAGTATTTACCTGATAGCCTGTCTCACCGTCAATCCTCACGGTTGTCATCTTTGTGTCTCTTCTGTAGTCGTGACCAGCGCTGAGATTGTTGTTTTCTACAACGTACGCATATAAAAGTAGCGTGCTTGTAAATATACACTATCAAAGCCGTGTATACATGCAACCAAGATGTATATGAATGTATGATCCTATAGTTTACGCACGAAAAGTTTAACCTCACAGATATCAACCAGGAAAAGTAAAACTATTTCACACTTACACCTGCTAATATTTGGACAACCTCTACAAATTGTGCATGCGCATCTAGATATAAATAGTTGTATACTATGTTCCACAGGAAAACAGAAGGCTCATCTATGATGCGGACATACGTGAGATTTTGCATACGTGTCCATAGCAATCTTAATGCACTATCAAAGAATATAAATATGCGCTGTTAGTGTTTGTGACAACCATCGCACAAAACTAAGGCTGACAATATTCAGCACTTGTGCTATTTACTCGGCCGAAGAACAGACCTATTACACTCTCGTCGAGTCGTATGGAATAGAATTATCTTGGCTTTAAGCCTGTGGTCACTTATCGCATCAATAGATATGTGTCTGGTTGCGGAAATGTATACCTTCCCATAAAGTGCTATTATTGTTTGTATAAAGCTTACATACTGCATGCACAGTCATTTGAGTTGACTGCGCCTATATACAAGGTCGAAGGTACATACAAGTGAAATGTAAGGCTGTACTCTACAACTATGTATTCATACAAGAGGTGAAATGACTCAAATGAGACATGGCATACTGATTGATATATGTCATATATTTTGTGTTTTAAGTTTAGTTCACGAAAGTACATAAATACGGAGTGTAGCTCATGTATTATTATTTTTTATAAAAAACAAATAGAAAACAAAATGTTTACTGTCCTATCGTGGGGACGTGGGCATACAAATTTAGCTCTGTAGAAAAGTAGTGACAAGTATATTGGTCATCAGTCCTGATTTGGTTTTAATCAGTTTTCGCGCCAATCTATAGAGTTGTAAACCCCAGACTCAATCTCAGTCTCCCCGGGACCCAGAGTCCAAGAGTCCCAGGCCACAATAAAAACACTTTCGTGTCGATGTGATTCTTTGCTCCCGTTCAAAAAAGCGCATACAGTACTTCACTATTACATTGTGCATCGGATAGTATAGTAGTTCTAAGATATACACACTAGTTTCACCCGAGCGGATGTTAATTGGTTTATATTGTATATGTAAGATTAAATTATTGGGCCGTACACGGCGAGCCTGGATATGTATGTGATATATTGTGCATGAGTGCAGATAACTAGCGAGGGATCACTCAGCCTCAGGCGCTAAGTGAGTCTTCTTTTAAAATCTTTTACGAACTTTCATGTAGAGAAGATAATTATATGTTCAAGTTTATCAGCAGACAAAGCGTCACTGATTTGAACTAAGTACGTAGTCTGAGCAACTTCATAAGAAGCTAAATTGTAGTCGAAACCTTGATCAACTGTGCAATGCCTTATCTCTGTAGGAATCCTTGGTGTCTGCTTATCATATAAATAATTTTATTTTAGCACGTCGATAAATCGGATATATACACTTCAATCAAATAAGTATCACCACAACATAGCAGTACAATATGGGAGGCGCTCAGTCACAGCACTTTGTGCGGGTGAGCGATGATATGGATCCGCTGGAGTTCATGTCTATGGTCTTCAACAGCGAGGATCTTGGGACAGCAAAACTATCTTATGTATGTCGGTCGATCGCATTGTAATATTTCTGTATATTCTCCAGTATGTGGTATATAATGCACTATGTAGGTACATATATCTGGAATTGGTGATGAATTCGTTGGGTGGTTCACGTGGTACGCCACTTTTTAAGACATGTGTGTAAATATTGCGTTTGCTGTGCACGAGTAGCATATACTTAAAGCAACCCAATATAGTAGATATTATCCAACAGTTGCTGACAACGATATATGCCTTATATTGAAATGCAGTACTGATGGTGCAACGCAATACTAGAAGCTCATAGTCAAAACGATAATGTGCTAGTCTTCCTTGTCTTTATATATGAATATATATATATATATATATATATAAGTAAATTATATATATATATATTATATATATATCAAATATACACGTGTGTTTTGTATATTCCAAAATAAAATGCTGGTGTGTTCTGGTGAATTGTGCGAATAGTTTTTTATGCATCGAGGTATACACATAGCTCTATACACAGTTTGTGAACAATGTTCATGTAGTTTTTAGCCTAGACAGGTAAGCCAGTATAAAATGTACAATATCGTAGTTTACACAAATTGACGAACTAGTTTTCAAAATAAAACAACTGCGTACATGTTCGGCGAAGCTGTGAGCTCTTTTTGGCATTGATGCCGGCACAAAACGTACGAACATTTGCCTTGAACACTAGATTGCCATTTCTTTTTTTTCGCAATGTGTTCTAGCTGCAGCATCAACTACAAAGTGAGATAGACGAATTCGAAGAAAAAAAATCCTTACGTCCCTGATCCACACTCGAAAGTTGTCATTTATCACTCACACACACATATATATATATATATATATACATTATTTATAATATATATATATATATATATAGTATATATATATATATATATATATAGTATGTAATGTATATTATATATATA